GATCAAATAAAAATAGTCGACTGCGACGATGTGGCTTAGCGGTAGAGTGCTAGACTGCTAAACTGAATCGCTCGAGCAAGGATCCAGGTTCAAATCAGTTGAAAGTAAATGAGTCCACCCAGCACGTCAGAACGATCCGTAACGCCAAGTTGATATAATAACAATGAATACGTACGGACAGTGGCGTCGCGTTGGTTATTTTATAAAATTTGGAATTCACATTATTACAGAGATTAGAAGAAGAGGCAACGCTGTCGGACTTTCGTGGGTGCCAATAAATTGAGCCGCTCAAAACCACGAAAAGGTGTGGCTCTTTAGGGGCCACAAAGGAATAATGAAATGAATGAATGATTATTGCAGCTCTCTATTCGTTAAATAAAATATACTTTTTAAAATCGACAAAACGCGCGTATATTTGTGGTTTTTTCTTAATTTATTTTTAGACATAGGCTCGCATATTAGTCTGATATTTGATCTTTATCGGCCTTAATTAATGGTCTTTTTTTTCTCTTTGTTTCTCATATCCTGTCTTCCAAGATACCTGCAAATACTGAAGAGCATCTGTATTTACAAAATAGGAAAACATATTATTTTTAATTGTATATATTTGTATCGATAAATGTCATGTTTAAACCACACAGAAACATGCGTGCAGTGTAACTCCAACGTTAAGCCTTCGATACACAAACTAGAAATTTTAATTGGTATTAATGGTATCACTCTTGCTTGACAGTTAACAATTGAACGGATTATCGCAAATATCATAGCAATTTAGGCAGTGGTCTTCGTCGTTCTTTTTTTCACTTTTGTAGCCTAGACACATGAGGCCGCCTTAGATAACTTTCTCACCCTTGCCTGTCTATGTGAATTTTTTTTTGGGCAGTCCCCTAAATCAGTCAGTGGTCTTACGCGTGGGTTTTAGCCTGGGTATTATTGCCCTGCCTCGTCAGGTCTCTTTCTGGCAATCAATCTCTACATCTGACTACGCCACTGTACATGTCATAAATCAACACAAAAAATATTCAACATCTCACTTTACGACATGCCCCCTTGCTAAGTCAGCTTTTCCCCCCTTATTCACACTGCCCTAGATATACGGAGAGTGTGTGCTGATGTAAGTAGGCACTTTTGGCATATATATATATATATATATATATATATATATATATATATATATATATATATATATATATATACTCATTGTTTTCCTTTTAAACAATTAACACTGCCCTAGATATACGGAGAGTGTGTGCTGATGTAAGTAGGCACTTTTGGCATATATATATATATATATATATATATATATATATATATATATATATATATATATATATATATATATATATATATATATATATATATATATACTCATTGTTTTCCTTTTAAACAATTAACATGGAAGTGCCTCTACAGAAAGACTTGTTCTTCAGATGTTTATTTTATCAGTTTTAGCTTTTGGTAAGTGGAAAAACCATTTTTAATAAATAATAAAAAGGTAAATTATTGTTTTGAATAAAGTATTATCGCAATGGAACAAAATACCAGATTTGATACTATTTTATTACTCTTCTGTCTGTTACTTTAAATACATTTATAAAAAATAATTTACAAATGAAACACGACAACTTTATTCTTCAGTCCTTGTGAGCGCCTGGGATTCGAACCCGCGCTCACATCCCCGTGACAAGAGAAGTCCTGCCGTACGGTGTCAGGTGATCGCACGTGCACTGATTACGTCAACTATGGCTGTTGGTGCATTCAGGGCGGTCCAGGCACACCTGTTGATGCTGTTGACAGGTAAACTTCTTACGTCACGCATCATTGGCTTGAGATTTGATAATTGTTCTGGTGACATTGTCGAATGATCAATTCCTGATTCGTAAAGCATTTAGAATTGTTATATATATATATATATATATATATATATATATATATATATATATATATATATATATATATATATATATATATAAGAATAATTCATTCCGGACATTTAAAAACGTTGCTGGGGTTGCTGTTCAGCAATAACTTTTTAAAATGTTAATGAACTTTTTTGAAATAGCGACTAGTATGAAGAAAGTGAAGAAAGCTGTGGGGGTTTGTTGGTTGGCAGCAAACAAGGAGCAAGGACGATTCCCAACGTCTGATGAGATATCCCAAGCGCGAGTTTTAAACGACACGCGTACACTGTTGAACCTCCTTAGTTGAAAACCTGACTTGCTTGAAGTGAATTTAACACACGGATGTTCATCAGAGCGAGCTAAATCAGCGGCAGCTGGACAACATATTCGCTGTCTGAGTCATGTGTATTTCTTTGTGTTCGTGGCTGTGTAAAGTGTTCTGCTTTGATGTTCTTCTACACCAGGTCAAAGTTAATGACTCGATGCAATCATAGCCGGCTTATATGGATGAGCTGAATGTTGAAATTTTCTTGAACATAGAACTAGAGGCATAGCTTCAGATTTATATATAAATAAATAAGTTATATATATATATATATATATATATATATATATATATATATATATATATATATATATATATATATATATATATATTCGGGAGACTGATTTTCCACATCCCTTCCCTACGAATCAAACAATCAATAATTTTACATCACATTATATTTGAGTAATAAAAACGATATCGACTGTATCAAAAATGGCAATGATATTACGCAACTGTATCCAATGTTACTAAACCTACATGAGAATGAAGGGAAAAATTGTTTTGTTATGTCAAAATAACTTTTGGTGTTATGTTTTGGGTGGAAGGGTTACTTGTAAGTTGGTAGATGGGGAGGGGAGGGTGAATCAAAACAACAACTTAGGCACTAAACTGTATAGCGTTTAGTCAGTGCAATACTGAGAAACCCTTTTGTTGTTAAACTTATCAGGTGACTTCTGAGTGATCTGCACCTCTGGCTAATTATCATTGTAAACATAATTTCGAACATCACAAACCAGACGGACAAATATTATGTGGTGCTGGTATCATACTAGTAAAGCTAGAATGTTTATCCAACATGCAATTAGGTATAAGAGCAATAAATAAACCTGTTCAAAACTAGAGCAGTGGCAAAATGAATATCATATTTAGAAAAATAAAGCGACGCTACTGTGTTAGTACTAGAGTTAAACAAAGTAGTTTCCCTTCATTTGTTCAGATAAGAAAATTATATTCAGAGCTGTAGATAGAGGAGAGCAGGTGGGCGGTCCTGGGGTGCCGACCTAACGCAGAATTTCATTTTAAAAAATTTATTCAGTCGAAGATTAATCGATTGTTACTTGGATTTATGGACTTATTTAACTATTTTTTAACTCAAATGAAAAACAACAAAATGAAAAATGACAGTAAATGGTGAATAAAATGCCCCGATAGCATTTCCAAATTTAGAGGAAGTGCATTATTGGCAACGCGAGTAACTACAAAAGGTGGGAGAGCAAAGTTGATAGCAGAGTTTCTTGTAGGCAACGCCCCCCCCCCCCTCGAACGAAATGAAATTTATATAATTTATATAGAAAATATATACTTTTAACAGTGTCCGCCCTCCCGAAGAAAGTCTACCACCCCCTTCCCCCCCCCCCCCGAAAATTTCAAGTGCCCCCCCCCCACCCCCGGAGAGAAAAGTCTGGAAGAGACACTGGTTGATAACCCTCCCCGGGTGCCGGAATGGGTCGCCTTTGATTATATTTTCTATTGTTTACAGTTTATTACCTAACCTACTAAATGAAGTCTACTTTTCTGAAAAAATAATTCATGAAATGTTTTTCTTTATCTTCCACTCATTCTATAATAGATAGAGCTGTTGATCGCATAGTTTAAATCCTCCGTCCAACTAATCACGATATAGCAGTATAAAGTCACGTCGAAGTATTTTCCATTCACGCCGATACCTCTGATCACAGCCACAACAGAAATCAGTGTTTCTTCCAGACTTTTTTCTCCGGGGGGGGGGCACTTGAAATCTTCGGGGGGGGCGGTAAACTTTCTTCGGGGGGGCGGACACTGTTAAAAGTATATATTTTCTATATAAATTATATAAATTTCATTTCGTTCGGGGGGGCGGTAAAAATTTTTCGGGGGGGGCTACACCCCCCCCCGAGGAGATGCCTGGAAGAAACTCTGACAGAAATTAAAGAGTTTACGGTACGGCCTATTTGACATACAATAAACAAAACCGACACAGTCGATAGCATCAGGGTGACTTTCTTCTCCCAGCGGCATTTCTGTTTGTTATTGAGTTAACATTGTTTCTCCATTCGGATGATTTCCTTAATTTGACGCCTATGATAGCAATGTAGAAAATGAGAATTGAAAACGTAAAATAAGGTACGAAGTAAGAAACGCCGATTGCGTCTTTCATTCTGGGCTGGTAATAGATACTAAGATAAGATTTGTTAGCTGCAGGAGAAACTAACATGAGGAAATTAGAGACGTATTGAGAACGTAATCATCGCCATGAGAGCAAACGTTAATACGATTGTTGTTAACGTCAAGGGTGCACCAAGAACCCCTGCCCTCGTGTAACTTGTGGCTTCCAAACCATGTATCTTCCAGACTTTTTTCTCCGGGGGAGGGGGGGGGGACTAAAATTTCCAGGGAGCGGACACTGTAAAAAGTATACATTTCTACATAAATTCCATTTCGTTCGGAGGGACGTCATCTCTTTCAATGACCACAGCACAATGTGGTCAGCACTATGCCCAGTTGCCTTTGTTAACGTGATTTAGGTAGCCTACCCATCAGAGCTGGGGGGACTCAAGAACGTTCTACTGATTTGGACCCGGATTTGAACTCGAGACTTACAGGTTAATAGGCTAGCTCTCTACTGCTAGGCCACGCCAAAACCATTTACATAAAACAACTGGAGTTCTATCACTTCTGTGATCTGTTAACCAACAAAAGGCTAGTAATTATTATAAAAAGTAATTTATCAACAGAAAATCACAAGTTTTTCAAAATGTCAACAGTTTTAATTTTTTTTAAATTAATTTGCAACTAATTATTAACACAAAAAGAAGATCACATCTTATAGAAAATATATTCAACAGTTTCTGTCAGTTGGATCTCTAAGTTGTAGATTTAAATGTGAGAACACGTCTTCTTCACTCGTAGCTGCCAGCGCCATTTGCTGTGGATCAATACATTTTTTTAAATTGATTTATTTAAAAACTGTTTTAAAAATGTCAGAAATGTATGTAATGAAATGATAATAAGACTAGAAAAAATAAAACAGTATTTTATTAATTAGGATAATGAAAGAATTAAAATATTTTACTCCCTTTTTTTTTTACCTTCTTCATATCAAACAGCCCATGGCTGGTCAACTTTAGCCCCAAAACTTTCTGAGCGTACAATCTGGCATCTCTGTTGAAATGTTTACTTCCTGTCCAGCCAACCAAAGCGTAAAAGTACTGAGAATAAGGGGCCACGATCAAATCAACACGACGGGCCAGCCAATCCCTGTCAGCACTGGCCAACTTGTTTGGGTCCACTTCATTGTCAGAAAATTTCATCTTTTTACACACCACTTCTTCATCTTCCTTATCCCCAGCTGTTGTTTTCAAATTAAATTTTCCAGTTACTTCCCTTGAATTATCTCCCTCTTTACTAGATTCATTATTCAGTAAAGAATGTGTTGTACTCTCTAATCGTTCTGTGTTACTCTTAAAACTCTTCCCAGCATTAGTTAAATCAGGTGTTTGTTTCTTCCCATCAATCTCAGGTTCACATTTTATTTCCTGCCCCTGAAGAGTTCCCTGGTCATCTTTGGTGCATGACTGCTGGAAAGATTTTGGAAATTTACAAATGCCGAACCACTTCTCAAAATGATCCAGCTGTCCTCTTAAGTATGATTTTTTCTCTTCATTCAAATATTCAGCTCTATATGAAACAAAAATTTAAAAAAAAAAAAATGTTTAAACAATAAAATTTATAACTATGTAAAGAAATAATATTTTTATTAACATGTCAAGTTTTAGTTCAAAAGTTATGTTTGGTGAGTGCAGGGGAAAATCTGTATAAACTAAATGTTAAAATAAAATAGGACAGTACCCTGGGTTATTACCTGAAAGTGTTGCTGACTTTCTGCCCATAAAAAAATAAAATAGGACAGTACCCTGGGTTATTACCTGAAAGTGTTGCTGACTTTCTGCCTACAAAAAAAATAAAATAGGACAGTACCCTGGGTTATTACCTGAAAGTGTTGCTGACTTTCTGCCTACAAAAAAAATAAAATAGGACAGTACCCTGGGTTATTACCTGAAGGTGTTACTGACTTTCTGCCCACAAAAAAAATAAAATAGGACAGTACCCTGGGTTATTACCTGAAAGTGTTGCTGACTTTCTGCCCACAAAAAAATAAAATAGGACAGTACCCTGGGTTATTACCTGAAAGTGTTGCTGACTTTCTGCCTACAAAAAAAATAAAATAGGACAGTACCCTGGGTTATTACCTGAAGGTGTTACTGACTTTCTGCCCACAAAAAAAATAAAATAGGACAGTACCCTGGGTTATTACCTGAAAGTGTTGCTGACTTTCTGCCCACCAAAAAAATAAAATAGGACAGTACCCTGGGTTATTACCTGAAAGTGGTGCTGACTTTATGCCCACAAAAAAATAAAATAGGACAGTACCCTGGGTTATTACCTGAAAGTGTTGCTGACTTTCTGCCCACAAAAAAATAAAATAGGACAGTACCCTGGGTTATTACCTGAAAGTGTTGCTGACTTTATGCCCACAAAAAAATAAAATAGGACAGTACCCTGGGTTATTACCTGAAAGTGTTGCTGACTTTCTGCCTACAAAAAAAATAAAATAGGACAGTACCCTGGGTTATTACCTGAAAGTGTTGCTGACTTTCTGCCCACAAAAAAAATAAAATAGGACAGTACCCTGGGTTATTACCTGAAAGTGTTGCTGACTTTCTGCCCACAGAGGATGTAACCTTTGACCTCCAGCACCTCCAGCAGACGTGGGAGTAGTGTGCTCTCAGCGCCCTCTGTTGGGTGGCTGAACAGTATGTCCACATCATGGCCATTTGGCTTGCCCCTGATGATTAAAAATAGAATTTTTAACAATGTAAATACAACAGTTTTTGATAACAGTGGTGATTGCTTCATTTTTTGGTTGATCTAAGTAGAACAGTTTACTGACAAGTGAGAAGTGTGTAACAATATGACAAGTGAGAAGTGTTTTATCAAAATGATAATTTAGAAGTGTTTTATCAAAATGACAAGTGAGAAGTTTTTTATCAAAATGGCAAGTAAGAACTTGTGTAACATAGATTTAAACTGCACAAAGCCATTTCATGTAACTCAGTTGAATATGTAAACAACTTATTAGTAGTAAACAGCATTGAATAGTTAATTTTTTTTAATTGACAACAAAATTTGTTTTACAATTATTCTTTACATATATATTTTTTCAAACAGTTCTTTTATTAGATGAAACAAAACATTGGAACCATAAAAAAGTATCAGTGTAACCAAAACGCTAGCAGTTTGAAAACAAAATAACAAAAAAGTACTGTACAACACCCACCTTCTAAAACCACCAGTTAATGTGACTATCACACCTGGAAGAATTTCTTCAGCTGCATTTGTTACAACACTTAAAAATGTCACTGCCTCTTGCTTCAGTACTGGCGATGTCAGATCTTCATGAAAGGCTAAACCTTAAATAATATTTTTTTTTAAAGTTTGACATATATGTAGATCAGGGGTCTCCAAACTACGGCCCGTGGGCCGGATGCGGACCGTGTGGTCCTCTCATCCGGCCCATGGAGATCATTTTGTCCACGGAAAAAAAATGTTTGTTGGTGATGGCTGAGGAACTTTACCCAGAAAAATCAAAGACATGCTTGGAAGAAACTGGCCCCCGAATTGAAATTTTATAGTTAATGCGGCCCTCGGACTGAAAAGTTTAAAGACCCCTGATCTAGATGAATGAAAATAAATTAAATGGGTTTGAATGTTGTGCATTACATAAGTGGAGGTTTTAAAAGGAGTTTTTCAAACAAAATTATTTCCATTCATTAATCAAAAATGGTTAAAAATTTCTACGATGATTATGAGACGTATATTAATGTTAGTAGAAAAACTGTTAATAAGTTATTAACAGATGTTAACTGGTTATTAAAATGGGGGCAGTTTCTTTTAATGTGTAGAAGCCATAGGAGTTCAAAAAATAGAACTGTTCTAAAAAAAAGGTACAGAATTATGTTAAAATAGTTAACCACTACTGTGGTTGAGACATTCAGTGATGGATTTTATGTATGCAGCATGCCACTGAATAGCAAGCTCAATATGTATATGTAACTTTGGACTGAGAAAATAACGTCGGCTGAGTATAAAGGTAACCAAAAGAATTTCTTTAAATGCCAAGGTTACAAGAAAATAGGAAATGCTAAGGGCAGTGTTTCTTCCAGACTTTTTTCTACGGGGGGGGGGGGGCACTTTTCTATATAAATTCCATTTCGTTCGGGGAGCGGTAGACTTTTTTCGGGGGGAGCTCTGCAACCCCCCCCCCCCCCCCCCCCAAAGAGATGCCTGGAAAAAACTCTGGCTATGGGAGACATGGAAGTGCAAAGTAAAAAAAGAAACTGAAAAAGTCAGGACTATCTTGAGGGGGACTGCCAAAATATTGCCAGAGGCTGACAAAAGTGGAAAGAGCTTTATGTGACGGCCCTGTGTGGGCACAAAAAGTAAAAGATAATGATGATGCCAAGGTAACAGAAACTGACAAACTCTACAGCATCAGTTCTGTGGACCACTACAACTGAAATATCACAATACTTTTCTTTTCCTTCAATAATGACCACAAAAACAATAACAAAATCAGTCTAATATTAAACAACTAACTAGCTGATTTAGATGAGTACAAAGCAAATACCCCATGAAACTCTCCAATCTTTACTCACAAAGCCAGCATGTCTCACATCTTCTATAGTCTGGAAACCTTTGTCTATCCAACTCTTTGCAGTGGCTGGTCCAATGCCAAACACACTTGTAAACAGCTGGGCAAAATAGAACAACAAAGTGCATTCTTGTTATAGTTGTAGATGGGGAAATGATACCTCTGATATAAAATATTCTTTAAAAAAACAATGCATAATGTTTATTGCAAATAATTAAATAATCTCAGACTAATTAGATGTTGAAAAATAAACCACCAAAAAATGGTTAGATTAAATACTTCCACAAAAAAATAATTATTAGTCAGTGACAGTGTGATAGAGCAGCATTTAGCTAACAGAAAAGGTTTGAGTTTGGTTCAGTGACCTGAGTCCATCCAGCTCTGATGGGTGCCTGACTCAAGTACAGAGTAGTAAACATAACATAGCGCTGACCATACAATATCTTTATAGGGTAATAAATAAACCCTTCTTCATCAGGTCTGAAAGGGAATTTGCTACTTAACTTTTTCCACCATCTGCACTAACCACAGACCTAAAAAAAAACTTTGTAAGGATTTTTTTTGTCGAATCTCACCTTCATTTTACAGAACCAGTTGGAATGTTTGATTTTCTCCACTTCTTCACAGTAACCATGGTCGAGAATATCCTGAACAAGCAAGCCAATACAAGTTAAATTTTCATGAAGTAATTTTTTTTTTAATCAGTAATATTTGGAGAATATAAAAATTCTATATCAAGCAAGTGAAATGGAATAATTTTATTTCCAGGGGTTCGGTGAGTCAGTCTCAGGGACTCTGCGGAGGTCATGACATGCACTCAACTCATGTAATTCACTATTGGATTTTACAAGTGTGGACGATAGAATTATTAAGAAAGGTTAAGTGAATGTGCATTTGAAACGGATTGGGTAAGGTTCCTCTAAAAAAGTTAAAAACCACTGATCTAGATCAGTGGTTCCCAACCTTTTTCGTGTGGCGACCCCTTTTTATAAAAAGAAAGTGACCCGCGACCCCCATAGAATTAAAAAGTCGAAATTAGTAAGGAAATTAATAAGCACTAAAATAATATTTTCTATTCGTTCATTGTCCCAGAAGCTTCAGGTTAAGCTTATGTATGATACTCTCCCCCAGTGTTTCTTCTAGAATTTTTTCTCGCATATGGGTCGCGACCCCCAGGTTGAGAACCCGTGATCTAGATAGTTGAAATCTTTTAAGGCAAATGGAAGAAAGCTGACTTACAGCAAGTACCCTCCTCACATGTTCCCCTATATCTTTTAAACCATCTAGTTGATTTAGGTTTGTTAAGACAAACGGAAGTGTCTTCAACACACATGAGGCCCGCCTGAAAGCGAGAGCTCGCGAGTAGTCGTGATTCTCATCCCGCAGCTCGGCATGGCTTTGTAGAAGTTCAAGGTCATCCTAGAAAACATAAAGAGAAAATTTAATTTTTAACAAGCTAGATTATAAAATTAATACATTGTTTTATGTAGAAAATTTTATATATAAGACTAAAATGTGTTGAAATTGTGATTAGTTATTTCATTTACAAGTATACAAGTATATATTTTAATGGATCTCTACAATATTTATTATTAACACACAAAAATACTCTAAGCATTTAAAAATAAAATGATTGTCTAGTTTATCATGTAAAATATGAGATTAATGTTACAGGTTTTACTCATTTTCAATGTTTGAAGACTTAAGATCGATAAATTGCTTACTGTAAACCTTTTATTTAGATGATCTAACTTTGCTCCTCTTTGACAAGCCCATTCTAAGCAGTGAGCTGACGTTCTTTTTGCACTGGATTCTGGTCCAACTTGTGGCTATTAAATAAATTTATATTAAAAAGAAACAATGAGCTTGAGTGTGTTTTACAGGTTAAGTCATTAAAGAAAAAAATACCAACTAATTATTTTGATTGGATGAATTAAAGTGTATTTCCTATCATTTTTTTAATTTACACATTCTATTATATATTAATTTTACTTGTCCTTCCTAGTAGAAATTTTCTACCTAGTCCATTCAGTTTTTAATAAACAATAATGAAGAGATAAAAATATAATAAAAGTAACATTTTTATTATTTTTATTTCATGACAAAAAACATTAAGTTGATTAAGATATTTATTAATATATTATTAATTTTAGAAGGAAATCAAATTAAATATGAAGTAGGCAACACACATCTTTAAATCATACCTCTATCAGTTTATGTGATTCAAGAACCGGAATCAGTCTGGAGTTCTTTAGGCAGTCTATGAGCCAAGCTGTTGACAGAATACACGCACCACCAGGGATGCTGTGCCAATCTTTGTCTAAACATTTCTTGACTAGCTCTATGGAGTTTAGTTCTGTCACAATGTGCGTCACGTGTGGTCTAAAAATTGTAAGGAGACAAAAAAATGTATTCTATCATGTTACCCTTCCTATAGGACTGGACCGCGTGGCCTAGCAGTAGGGTGTTAGACTGCAAACCCAAAAGTCTGGAGTTCGAATCCGTGTTCAAGTCAGTAGAACATCCCTGAGTCCAAGCACAGCTCTGATGGGTACCTAACTAAAGTTTAGGAAAATCGAGGCGGATGGGCATAGTGCTGACTAAATGATAAACTTACAAAATACACTCAGTAAACTGAAGTTTATCATTAGTCATAGTCCATTTGCATCATTAAAATAATTAAATGCCGAATCTGTGTTAATGTTATTTGATAATGTATTAGGTCTATCAGCACACTTTCTTACATCCTGATCACTCATCCCCACTCAAGTCCAAAAAACATAAGTTCTCATTAACAATGATTAACGGGGACACAACAAGTATACTAAAGTATAGGCCCCTAACTATATAATATATTTAAATATATAGTATATATACAAAGCCTAATAAGCCAGCCTAAGCCTATAAATCAAATTATATAATACTTAACACTAGGACTAGACTATATTTTTTCAAAGTATTTTAAAGTTATAAAAGTAAAAGTATCTTGAAGTAAAGTATGCCTAGACCTAGAATCCTAGATTCTATGACTACCTTAACGAATGATAATTTCTAATGTTTACACTTTATACAGAAATCAAGTATCGCTTATCTTATCATTCTATGATATTTAGTTATTTAGGAGAAATTTCCCAATATGCCTATCACGTTGTAAATATTAAAATGGAGGAATGGAAAGTTTTAGGTAAGGTTTTAACTTAAAACTTGATGAAGTCATGTAAAATAGTAAGGTGGACAGCCAACAGCCTATTTTCAAATAAATTTATAAATGCAAAAATGTTTTACCCCAGCGTATCTGAAAGTGGTAGAAACTTTTTTTCATTGACTGTTTTATATCGTTAAGTCGTTTCTTTTGAAATTTAAACGGTAAAATATAAATAATTGTTTGTGCTGGCAACTCCCTTGCAAGCATTGTTATTTCCCTTTAGAAATAACTAATAACCGGGATGTGATTTTTTTAAAAAGTACGGAAGCTACAGGATGATATAGCCTAGATTTAGATCTAGATCTAGATATCTAAATCTAGATCTATATCTAGATCTAGTACTGAAAAAAAATCTTATGAACGAGATAGACTACTGTTTAGTGTTGACCCCACGTATTTAATGATAAAAAACAAATGGTTTTCCTAACGCATTTAACCAGAGCCGGCGTTAGGGGGTGGCGAACGGGGCGGTCGCCATAGGCCCCGCGCTTGAAGGGGCCCCGCGCTTCAGCACTGTCATTATTATCTGAATTAGTTTGTAAACTTAAATAAATTGTTGCTGAATTCAATTGGGAAAAACTAAATGGTCGAATGCCTACGTTGTTGATTGTTATAACTGAGGCCACGGTTGATGTTAGTGAGTTATCACCCACCTGAACTGGGACAGGCCGTAATTCGATACAAAAATAGTGTCACACCTCCCCTTTGTGTAGGGTACGGTCGTCTGGCATTTGACCTGAGCTGACTGGAGATGGCGGTCGAGAATTAGCCCACGACGTAAAGAGATACCCTATTGTATGCGGACCCATGAAGACGTCCTTTTAGTGAGCAGACGGGATGTCTGTAGTAGACAGTTGGTGACCTGATGAACTCTAGTCCTGACTTTCTTGTGGTAGATGTCATATAATGTATATGTACAGTGTTTTTTCCAGACTTTTTTCTCCGGATGGGGGGTTGGGGGGGGGGGGGGGGGACGGGACACTGTTAAAAGTATATATTTTCTATATAAATTATTTAAATTTAATTTCGTTTGCGGGGGGGGGGGGGGGGGCTTTCTCTCTTTCCCCCCCCCCCCCCCCCCCCCCCCCGAAGAGATGCCTGGAAGAAACTATATGTAGGCCTACTTGTCTTGGTATAACAAAATTAACATTCAGTTGCGTGCAGAGGGGTGGGAGGAGGGCGACGAGGGGGGGGGGGGGGGGCTTAGGATCTATATCAGGGGGGCATTAAACAGAGTGATTTATTATTATTTTTTGGAAGAAAGTTAAAACTGTTGTTATGTTGTGTCACCTTAAGGATTCACCCGTTCAATAATTAAGACAATAATGTTTTTGGTTTTAAAATATTGTATGAATTCTAAACAAATTTTGAAGTCTATACTGTTTTGATACATCAGGCCGAGTTCGCTGTATTGTAAACTTTATTTTCCTAATTATTCGGCACGTGATTAAATTTTCTTAAGTGATTTGGTATGAATTACATAACTGTCAAAAGTGATTTAATATCTTAGCAAAGGAAAAAAAACTACGAACATTGGGTTGACACATGGGACAGATAAAAATCTGCTATTATAGTGGAAAGTTTGACATTAGCTAATAAACTCCAAAACATTTGTGTTATTATGTGTACATCACATTATATAGGCCTTTATATATATATATATATATATATATATATATATATATATATATATATATATATATAATGGAAAGGCCCCGCGCGGATGGTTGGCCCTAGGCCCCGCGTATTCCTAACGCCGGCTCTGCATTTAACATAAAGATCGATGGAAAATAATACAAAAGAACAAACATTTGAAAAAAAAATAGAAAAGTAATTAAAGAAAAGGAAAAAAAAAACTTTAAAATTGTATCAGCTTACGCTTTCTTGTTTTAGTCGTTGAAAGTAAACTGCTTTGTTATATTTTAAATATTAATTTTCAATCGCGACATTGTTGTTTCTATTTTAAAATATCTTAAGCAACCACGAAAGTATAAATATAAAATAAGCTAAACAATAGAGCAGGACATATAGATCTAACTAACAAGGCGAAACTATAGGCCTACAAATATAGTGCTCAGAGACGTAGCGAGGGCGGGGCGGGGTGCGGACCTCACCGGGTGACACCATTTAGGGGGAGGGGGGTGACACCAAGGCAAAAAATGAAAAATGTAAAGAAGAAAATTTTTCTTTTGCCAGTTCCATTTTTGATTATCTAAAGTTAAATAGTCATTTACGTACGAATTGACAGTTATTACTAGAGGGTGGGGGTGACACCATGACGTAAATGTACGAAATATAGAGAACACAGTGATCAGAGCTTATACGGATACATGTAAGCGTATGGGCATATATTGGAATTAAAGGCCTTTGTAGGCAGACACATACACACAAATATATATATATATATATATATATATATATATATATATATATATATATATATATATATATATATATATATATTGTTACTTGTGGGGGGTGTAATCACGAAGTGCCGCACCGGGTGACACCCGACCTAGCGATGCCACTGATATTTCTTACATTTGAAATAAAAACAAGTAAAAATTGTTAAACATAAGTTAACTAAGCCTGATCTCTATAGAATCTTGCTAAAATTCTGTTCCTAAACTATAACATTCTCACGTTCACGGTGCATTAGCAAGGTAAGGAAGTTCTGCAACAACTGGTGCTGTCCGGCGGTTAGTGAGTTTGTGTAGAACCGGTGCAATAAGCCTGGTTAGTGCCCGGTTAGTTAGCCCAGCTCGATGGAGCAGTTAGCCCGGTTACCGAGCGAGCTCGATGGTGTAGTCAGCCCGGTTATCAAGCCCAACTAGGACCCGTGTCATGAGCCCGGTTAGTTAGCCCGGCTCGGTGGTGCAGTCAGCCCGGTTACTGGGCTGTGCTAGAACCAGTGTCATGAGCCCGGTTAGTTAGCCCGGCTCGATGGTGCAGTCAGCCCGGTTACTCGGCTGTGCTAGAACCAGTACCGTCACTCCCTGTTATTTAGCGCTAATGCTTGTCACCGTTTGAGTTTGATCTGTTGGTCTACTGAAATGTGATCGCACCTCTAGATTGTTATAGCAATACCCAACTCCCAGATAAAAAGGGTAGTAGGACTAAATTTGGCGCGTGATTCTATTAGGTATAGTGCGCGTTATTTAGACAACCCGGAAGCCTTGAGTTCGGATCGCGGATCCAAGTCCATAGGACCTTCCGGAGTTCACCCAGCTATGATGGGTAACCGACTCACGTTAAGGATAGTAAAGGCGGCTAGACATAGAACCTACATGGCCGAGGTAACAGAAACAGATAGGCTCTACTTCACCTACCCCATGCTTAAATTGTGTAGGGGTGATAGAGAGTAATGTTATATAACACAACCTGTGATTTTTTTTAAAAAATATTTTTACAAAACTTCTTCTACATAGAGTAGTTGAATATTAAGAAAAAGTCGTAACAATTGGCTGACACATTAGGGATCATCCATTTATGACGTCCACAAAATTTTGAAATTTTAGACCTCCCCCCCCCCCCCCCCCGCATCCCCCACCCGTCCACACACGTCCATTTTCGACTACCCCCCCCCTCATACTCATTCGTCTAAACTGATCATAGGATTAGTGTTTCTTTCAGACTTTTTTCTCCGGGTGGGGGGGAAGGGGGATTTGAAATTTTGAGGTGGATAAAAGGGGAAGGGAACGGATGGGGTAGTCACAGGTAAAAGTATAAATTTTCTATATAAATTATATAAATTATATTTCGTTTGGGGGGGGGGGAGGTAAGGGACGGTAGACGTTCCTCGCCCCCCCCCCCCCCCTCCCTTTCGTAGAGACGATTGAAAGAAACACATTGTTTTATTCTAATTACCTCTTGGTCATTTGTTTCTTCTTGTTTCCCCCTAACTGCTCTGCCATCTAAATTAGTTCCTTCCAAGTACGATTCTTTTATGGTTATGTGATGTTATGGTTATGTGATTTTATGGTTATGTGATTTTATGGTTATGTGATTTTATGGTTATGTGATGTTATGGTTATGTGATTTTATGGTTATGTGATTTTATGGTTATGTGATTTTATGGTTATGTGATTTTATGGTTATGTGATGTTATGGTTATGTGATTTTATGGTTATGTGATTTTATGGTTATGTGATTTTATTGTTAAGTGATTATATGGTTATGTGATGTTATGGTTATGTGATTTAATGGTTATGTGATTTTATGGTTATGTGATTTTATTGTTAAGTGATTATATGGTTATGTGATGTTATGGTTATGTGATTTTATGGTTATGTGATTTTATGGTTATGTGATTTTATGGTTATGCGATTTTATTGTTAAGTGATTATATGGTTATGTGATGTTATGGTTATGTGATTTTATGGTTATGTGATTTTATGGTTATGTGATGTTATGGTTATGTGATTTTAATCATATTTTATTTTAAAAAATTAAAATGCCAAACTTCGCAATATCTGATTAGCAGTTAGAGGTCACTCACACAATTTGTTAAATCTATAAGATAAGCACAATCCATTTCTCACTGCTAGCTATATATCGGGTTGTGTAAGTAGTGTTTATTGTTCTCCACACCTCCAAACATGAGGTTTGTTTAAAGTTATTTAAATGTATCTTGAACAATAAAAATATATAGTGTAATATGGTTTTAGCGTTTATAAAAAGCATTCCCGTACAAAAATTAGTACGGATGGTGGAGTATAAATGAAATGCTAATACTAGAGGCGTGTTCACAACACTATTTGATGCAGAAATGTGAAAACAATTGACATGATGGAACAATCAATAATGTCAGGGGGGTGTTCACATCACTGCGGTATTTTTATTTACTCGGCACAAGTTTGAGGGAACTTAGCACGGATGACCAATGCTAAATGGATTTCCTGTCATTCTTCATTCCCTCAATGCTTGCGTCCCGCCACACACACACACACACACACACACACATACACACACACACACACACACACACACACACACACACACACACACACACACACACACACACACACACACACACACACACACACATATATAAATATACAGCCACACACCACACACACCGAGTGAAGTCTGCCATTGAATGTCTTTAGAATGGATAAAGTTGACAGCCTCTGCTATTTTTTTTTCATGTGAATTAGTCTATATTTTTTTTCCTAATCATTAACTTTTAAAACTAGAAAGAAGTAAAGAA